TATATCAATAGGAATATATGATAAGTCGCAAATAATAGTTAATCAATCTACCGGCTACAGTAGCAAGTAATAACAACCAACGATATAAATATATTATATAAAATATCCTAGGTGGACAAACCATCCCAGCTCAGAATTGTTTTTTGTAACTATACAATGATGTTATTAAGTCGTTGAATTCAAATTTAACACTATCCATTAAATACAGTGACCCACTTGTYCTCCACTGTACAGCCGAGAGTCACTCACTTACCAGCTTTTTGCATTACAGTTATAATGCATTTATGCCCATAACATCTAAATAAAACAAGAGATGCAGTTGAGGGGTTAGGGCATGGATTAGGTCATACCACCTACATTTTTAAAAAACTGCTGTAGTCATACCTACAATCAAGGCATATAGAATTATAAAATTAAAAATTAAATAAACTCTGAATAAATGAAGCTAACTCAACCTACCTACCTATTTTGATAAACTGTATTTCTAAGCTTCTAGCCAAATCAATTTCAAACAACCACGGAATGTGTGGATATTCTAACTACCTTCATTTTTTTTTTTTAAATACTCGTTGACGACGGTCATATCGTTTTACTGATTGCTCGAGAAAACTACCACGAAATGTAGTTAAGAAGTGATACGTACCTGGCCACCTAATTATATTTTATGAAAAATTATAAGATKACGGAACTCATTCGTTACCACTGTTAATGGAGCACATTGTGATATATACCTTTTGGTTTATTCTTATTGGATGTTTTCAGCAACAAGTCTGCTTCTTCGATGTCTCCGACCAAGTGTTTGAATTCGCGTTCTACGTCAGTCAAAATAACCTTAACATTTTGTCCCAACGACGAGCTCGTGCGACTGTTGTCAGGGAATGAACGTTTTTTTTCACCCATTCCACAAACTTTCACTATCATTTCCTTGATGAATTCATCGCTGCATGATTCTACGGATACCTGCATTACAAACAGGACGGACATCTGCACTAAGGCCACGATCGTCTAAAATAGGTGCCAAACATAGCGTTAACACAACAAATAGAAAGCGACATAGACATTTCTTCTAAGACAGCGATACTTTTAGGTTTCATTAGGTCGGTCAAAAATAAACTTACAAAATTCGTCATATTAGTTCTGTTTCGAGACAAGTGCAGTTCATCGAGTCGCGAGACATCAATACTAACGCACTGTCTCACAAATGAATCCCTTATATAGTATTTCATGTCTTTTTATCAGTATTGTTAAAATTATTCTCTTATTATTCAGACGTGTTTTTAATAACTTAAAAAATTAGATAAAATAATGACGCAAAAATAAAAATAATAAATAACACAGTCCTCCACATAGATGAATGATGACATTGTTATTTTAAAATATTTTAATACAAACAAAAGACGTTTTTTTTAAATAAATGTCTATTGATAATACATAATTCAAAACACAGTATAAATATAATATGTATAATAATAAAGATAAACTCTTGAGGTTAATGATTTTCTGTTTGGATCCGCAAGATAGAGCTTAGGCCGCCACTGCTTTGTATGGTCGCTTCTGCATCATATTGATTTTATCACCAAGACTGAGTGCCATCCCCTAAAATCAAATTTTATGACATGATAAATTATGATAATTATGTATTAGATAAAAATAATTATTGTTAAATAATAGAAAAAGCTTTTTTTCGGTTCTGATTTCTAACTTGCACWGTATATACAAAAACATCTGTTTTCATATTGGTTTATGTTTTTATTATAAAGCCATAAGTATAAAACTAAACATAGATTTTAAACTATTTTTTAACAGTCCTCAATAGTTGTATATATTGTTTTTTGTTTTAATATAATCACAACTTAAATTTATTTACACTGCTTAAGAATATTCACAATCTGCTAGCTTATTTGTTTATTTTAATAGTCATAAACAGTGCAAAAATTGTAATTATTCTGAATTTGTTTAACATTTAAAAAATA